TAAATCACATATACAGAAGGAAGAATATATCATTTTACCAACTCATGGTCTAGTATGAACATCACTTTCAAACATGTAAAGGTCCTATTAAGCTACTTCATCAGAATATTAGACAAGTGTGTTGCCAATACAGTCTTCAGCTTTCAAATGACTGATCTTGAAGCAGCAGAGTTTCCATTTACGAAAAATGATTAGCTGTTCAAATCCAATGTATGTCACCAGTTACTTTATGCTCCATCGACAAATCGAAAAAATTGAAAGGCCTTCAACTTGTATTCATATATCAAGTAAAAACAAAACTCGAGGAAATGAAATGCAAAACCTAACACATAAACAATATTTAAGCAAAATCTACAAACCCCATATGTCTAGCACCATTTTCAACATAAAACAAGTACATAAAAACAAGAACCCACTTTAATTACCACACAATAGAAACACAATTGAACAAAAACTGTAAAACCTTCAGATTTGTATTTCGAACACAATTATTTTCACAGAAAAGGAGAAAAAAAAAATGAAAGGCAGTAGAAAGAAGAGGGAGAATCGCAAGTAGATCTAACGCACCTCAAGGTTACAAAAATGACGAAGGGCGCAGATCAAAGAACGAGATTTGGGTGCGAAGGTGATTTGCAGATTTGGGTGAAGGCACAAATCAAAGAACACGATGTTGACGAGGGTACAAAAATGACGAAGGGCAAAATTGTATTTGGAAGTGTAATGCATTCAGCTTAATCACGTGTAGTAAATAAAGGATTGGATTAGAAAAAACTGTGCGAAGGTTAGTAAACAAAGGACAGAAGCTGACGTGGCAAAAGGTTGATAGTTGGTGGGACTATTTTGTCTAATCCCGTCCACGCTAGTAAACGAGCCCTAATAGACTTGTATTTTAGAAGTAGATGTAAGTAGACGTGACCACGTGCCGGTTCTCGGCCCGGCCCGACCCAATAAATAATTAGAGAAAATAATTTTTTTATCTCTTGAAATCACGTTTCATCACACCACCTCTTTCTTGCATCATACATAAGTATAGGCCATTACGTCGGTTGTTCCAGGCGGTGGACTTCTTTAATTTTATTTAACCTACTAACTTTAGAATACTCTAGTTAGTTCTAGTTTTTACTTGATTCTTGAACGTTCTTGAATGAGCGTCAATATTTCAATACTCCCCTTTGGTGCTCATTTGTAGAATTCCAAGATTCTTGCACAATGTCTCGAATATTGATTTTGGTAGCGTATTTGTGAAGATATCAACTAGTTAATCTTCTGTAGCGATATATTTTAGCTCTATTTGCTTGTCATTGGTAGCCTCTCGTAGAAAATGATTTTTGATAGCAATGTTTTTGGTCCTGCTGTGAGCCACGTCAGCATGTATGGACTAATCTAGAGGATGCTTGAATACAAAACTCAAAAAAATCCAACCATTTTTAACTCAACACCACTACATCAATATTATCAATATAATTAAATAATATCAAGCAATAATTCTTACACACCACATCAACTTTAATTCACTATTCATCAACTCATATAATTTTAACTAACCATCATTTCAAATTATCTCTCTCGTACTTTTACATCTAATCAATTTTAATTATTTTATTTTAAATATTATTTTGATATACCCACTAACCACTAATCATACCATCTTTTTCAAAATTTAACAAAGCAAACAAAAACACAAAATCAAAACAAACAAAAAAAAATTATATCCAAGCATCCCCGTAAAGTCCATATCAAACTAAAACATCCAATGGTTAATATTAAGAGAATAGAATCATACCATGACGAGAATGTAGCCATCCAATTTATTTGATTAATTCATACTCAAAATCTAACTCAACTTTAATTCAATCCAACTATTTAATATCATCAATATAATTAAAACATATTAAGCACTCACTTTAATTCACTATTCATCCACTCACATAATTTTAACAAACCATCACTTTACATCATCTGTTTCCTATTTTTGTATCAAATCAACTTTAATTATTATGTTTTAAAAATATAATATAAATTCAAAATTTCACTGACATCGAACCATCCTACATTTCTTAAGATTAACAACAATCAACGAAAAAAAAAAAAAAAATCGCTTTGAACGAATATATTTGTATCCAAGCACGCTAATAATATGATCACCCAATTATGGTTAGAAAATGAATGCACATGTTCTTCCTCTGCGTTTATGTCAACAGCCAAAATGTTGTTTTCGATCGAGCAACTCGTGCGCAACTCGGAATTTTATTGCTTGTGGGACTAATTTTGGTGCATTTCATTGTAGAGTTATAGATTGTGAAAATTGATGTTTGTGGTTGAAAATTAGAGTTTTAATAAACAATCGTGTGTGGAAAATGGTGCTGAAGAAACTATACCAACAATCCGTAGACTAATGGACATCCATTGATGCTAAAAGCGTCAATACTAAAATGTTAACGTACTCAAATGGAAGGACATTGTTTAGTAAGAAAATTAGTATTCGATCTGTGCATTTGCACATATATAAATAAAGTATTGTGAGTTATTTGTATGTATATAATAGTTAATGATTTTTTGCTAAATTTACAATTAAATGAGCTGAAATATTTAATTTTTTAAATTACGTTTATCATATTGGATGTAATGTATATTTTTGTATGTATCTTTTTTTTTGTGAATTATTTATTATTTATTTAGGAATTTCAAATACGTTTTTTATTTTTCAAAAGAAGTTAATTTAAATGTAACCACAACAATAACATTTATT